TTGGTATGTATATATATATATATATATATATGTATAGCTAAACATACTGACGTGTAATCAGGTTGTTGTCATGCCAACCGACAAAACAGAAACTATTATAGCTGCAGTCACAACCCCCAAGAGTCGAGTTTTTCTGAGTTTGAGTTTCAGTCTGAGTTTGGGTTTGGGTTCGGGCCTACATATACTACACTCTTTATATATACATATATATATGATACGGCGTAGTACAGTGCTACCTGACGCCCGAACGAAAGGCGTCGAGGATAGGGGGCGTGGCAGGGGCAGAGGCAAAGGCAGGGGAAGCGGTGTTCTAGTCAAGCATTTCATTATATTGCTGGCTGACTTTTTACGATAAAGAATTTTGATTGGAGTTGTTTGTTTTACAGCGTTTTCCTTAACAACTCTAAGTAACTTCTAAATGTGAGTTATAAAGTCTTCTTAGCAGGGGTTTAAATTGAAAAATACAATTTAAGAACTTAATTTTCTTATAAATTAATAAACTAAACGCCATTACATAAACTATGCCATGTAACAATGTTTGCTTTTAATTAAAATCCTATAATTTGAAATTATGAAAAACAATCGCCCGCAAAAGTTAAAGAAAATTGAAAAGCAATTGATTTTCCTCTTTCTTCCTATTTCCAACATATTTTCCATTGGTTTCCCAGAAGGCAAGTGGGAAAATGCAGATGCCAGGGGAGATTATCTACGAATGGGCGGGGTGGGTTGTACGTGTGCGTGTGGTAGGTCCACCTTAAATGGTTTTTCTTTTTGGTCAGCTTGCTGGAAGGCCCCTCTCTCATTGGCTCATAATTGGCTTGCATTTTCTCGTTTTTCTTTTCGACCAACAGCTGCAAATATTTGTAATCCATATTTTTCAAGGAGAAGAACTGAAAGATCTCTGAAGATTATACTACAAACTAAAAGATTAAAGCATTTATTTACTAAACTAACATTAATATTTAGTCGTTTATACTTTTAACTTAATAAAACTCCAGTCATTTCCGACCTTCACTCCATAATTACGACCAACGTTTCCCCGTTAGCCGGTGAATGCCAGTGAAATTCTAACGAAATTCCATTGGCCATAAAAAGAAACTGGCCAAGGTGTTTGACGCTTGGATTTATCGATTATTTGCCATTGTCAAAGCTTGTCCCCAAACATAATACCCCCCCTCGCCCTCGCCTTCCGCCTTTCTTCTCTCCCCTCACTCACTCACTGTTGCTAACATATTCGCATTGCAATTATTGACTTAAACCAATTAGAGCGCACTTAAAATACGCTAACAATTAGTAGCGTGAGTAGAAAAATCAAAAAATTTAATCATACAAAATGTGCAAGCGAGATGGCAGGACAGCGGTGAAGCGAGAGAGCGAAACCGAGAAGAGAAGAGAGCTTGGGATATATGTTTTTATGACTAAATAATTTACAAATTGTGCAAAACTGGTTTCGCAGTCTCAGTCTTTAGCTGCTGCCGCCGCCGTTGTTGCCACTTAATGCCAAGAATTCAGCAACAGCGACAAGAAAAATTCTCAATGAATTTTTTTGTTTCAACTTAGGTATTTTCTGTATTTATACAACTTTTTTTTAGTTTTTTTGTCTTTTTGTATGCCACATCTCTGGTTTCCCAGGCAAACAAACAAATAAACAAATGAGGAAAGAGCTGAGCTTGGGTTGTGATAAGAAGCAACGCCCACTAAAGTCGAGAGCTCGAAACAAAGGAATCGAATGCGCATATCATATTTTACTCTTAACCCAAAGCCGAGCGTTAAACTATTTGCTTTATGCGAATATTGTAGGCTGCGATTCGATTTGCAATGTGGTTCGAGTTCGTAGAATTATGGCTGGCTCCTTAAAAGTCAGTTTCAAGTTCATTATTAGCCATGCAAACGCCTGTAAATTCACTTTTATAGACCTGCAGCAAGGTATCGCTTGAGTATACCTTTAAAGATACTCAAGTATCTATACATATATTGTTGCAAAACATTGACCTTGATTTGTAATGTCGGGGAATTGGAGCTGAAACGAATGTCAAATGGGTCTAGTTTATAGCATTGTAATTTGGCAGAAATAATGTCATATAGCTGAATTTTTCCTTAACAATCTTTCTGTTTTTATACGAATTATCTGTTTTTACATTAGATCAAGCCCCATACCGAAATTTAGCCAACTTCCTCTCACAAAACCCAAGTTACCAAAGAACACTATGCTCAAAATCTCAATTACCTCACACTTAGAGCAGCATATGGCAGGTATTTCAATGTTATATATCGGCCATTGCAATAGGTCAGTTGGTAACACTTTATCTTCCGACTTATTCTCGTTTTCGTTCTCCTTACTCCACTTCACACCTCTCACAGACAGTGGAGCTTGCACATGTTGCCAGCCAAAGATAGTGAAACGAAAAGCGAAAAACAAAACAATCGCACAGCTGCAAAAAAGGAATAAAAAACTAAAAGAAGTACGGATTCGGAATAGCAGAAGTAAATAAAAAATACAATAGTATCTCTCATGCGCCCGAAGAATTTGAAGTGCAGCTAGCTGCAAGTCATTCGATTTCGTCGATCTTGCAAAAAACAAAATCAGTTGACAGTTGAGGTTAAAAAAAATGTGTCTTTACTTTGTTTTAAATTTTAATTTTCAAATTTAACCAATTATATTAAGATTTGATAAAAATAAAAAGAGCGAAAATGGAGCTATGGTTTCTAGTAAAGTCTTGGGGTCTTTCAAAGCTAATAAGCTGTATTTTGGCATAGGAAGTACTTGAACAGTATTTAAGATAATATAATGATAATGAATAACAACTAAACTAAAAATCCAAATTACACTTCCCCCTCAATTGCACTGGCATGTGGAAGCATTAAATTGCATAATTAGCATGTTGCATTTTCTTGAGGGGTTTTTTGGTCTGGAATCGGGCGGAGCACGTGATCGCGAAATGGAAAGCTTCTTATCTGTTGGTTAGTAACCACCACCCCCTCTGCCCCCACCGATCTGTTTGTTTCCCCTTTTCTTTATATATATTTTTTTGTTTTTTTTTGTTTTGCACTTAATTGCAGCTGACACAGTTTCGTCTTTTGGCCAGACAATGAAAGCAAACGAAAATTCACACACGTTGCAACAGTGCAGGCAGCTTTGCCGTTTCCCGACCCCGATCCCCGCAAGACACTAAAAGCCGCACCGGAAATCCAGTAGAGAAGCCTTCGGTTTCGGACTATTTATGGTTTGGGAAAACGCCTAATTAGTGCAGCACTTTTTCTCTAAGCTGCAATAAACAAATTATCTCGACAATAACTTTTTTGTAGTTGGAAGAAGCTTTCGCATAGAACTATAAAAGTATGATCTTTATATCCTAATGTAATGGTAAATCATCCAGATTTTATCTTAGGTAGTTGCTCTTAGTATAGTTTAGAGTATATTTTAGTTAGTATATATCTAGCTATGGCATCCTAGTAATATCATTGTTATAAGTATAAGTTTTCCTATGTAAATTCCTGTTAGAATCTTTCACACGCTCTTTTCTAGCTTTATAACAAATTTTAATAGGAAGTTCCAATTTCCCAGGGCGCTACCCATCTAAATAATGACTTAATCGCTCCGGCAAGCAAAGAAAAGCACAACTCATAATCATTATCAAACAAAAATGGAAAAAATGAAGAACCCCCGCAACAAAAAATTGATTTCGAATCAGAATTTTCCCTGGAAAATCGGGGAGAGGCCTTCCCTTGAACTTTTGATTAATTATAGAGGACCCCAACGAATTTCAGATGTTATTTCAGATTAATTAAGGTCTTCGTCCCTCGCTCTCTACTTTACTCGCCCTGTAAAGTGCATTTGTCGACCCTTTTTCCCTTGGTCTTTCTTTGGGGGGTTACCTGTTGATCGAGATCGGGTTCAAACGAGTTCAAAGTGAAATAAAAATGTTCTTTTGATTCTCGGCTGACTTTTATTATAATTCGAGTCTTCTGTTCCTTGTTTTGAGTTCTTCCCTTTCTTCTTCGATTTGTTACTTCTTGTTATCATCTTCTTTTCATTCCCTTTTTTTACTTTGTCGCTCACTTTTTTTTTGGTTTGTTTTTATGGCTTCGTCTTGGGGGCTTATCATTATTCAAATATTTTACCTAGACTCTATTTCTTTTTGCCCTGATCTTCGCTATATATGTATGTATGTTCATATATATCTTACCCCCGATAAGCGCCGACGCCGCTACAGAACCTTTTCTTGTTCGGTTTAATTCTAGTTTTTTTGGTTCTTTTCTCCTGTAATTACATCACTTTCAAGTGCAGCGTTTCCGCTCTTGAGAAAATTGTTTACGGAACTGCGGGACAAATGACGAAGTCAGTTTTTTCTCCTTTTTTGGGGGGTACCACTCGAAAGATACAATTGCCGGTAGACGAATGACTAACAAATGATTCGTTTATAACTTTTTTACAGATTTATGGCTGTTGAAGATCTTTTAAGACCATCAGAAACATAATTTAAACCCTTTTGCCTAAACTCTTTTAACATAAAGTTAATTATATACTTTAAAGCTAGTTAATGCTTAACAAAATAAACCCTTTCAACACTTCATTACCTACTTTTACCCTCTTTTAATTACATGTTTTTACCCGTAAATCATATTTTATACAAACTTAAACTCGCTGTCATTGGGAAATGAGTTATTATTACACGAAAAAATAGCAAACAAGCAATATATTTTTACAATCTTGAAAAAATAAATAGTTTTGGGTTTATCGGCATAAATAATGTTATTTTGTCAGCATTTTTTAATAAACTGGGTAACCAGCCTAAATAAGCTTATAAAACATGGCAGCAGATATACCCAAGTCATAAAATAAATATTAGTATTATATCAGATATTTCATAAGAATGGAACCCCAGAATCTCAAATATACATATGTTAACTTTGGAACCTCAGTTATTGTTATAATTATGATAAAAATATGAAACATTCTTATATATATCTAAAATATTATATAGATAGTATCCACTTACCTTGCCTGCTGCCTTGATGTAGCGTCGCGTGGCCTCCTTGACGAGCTCGCTGACCAGGAGTTCGCCGGAACCGCAGGGAACCAGAATGCGAACGTCGCCGAAGCAGACGGTGACCTTCATTTCGTACTTTTCGTATTAACAATTAACTATTATCTTTTCCGATTATCGATAATATATATGTAGTGGGCTTTCTTATGATTGCTGCAATGCACTTTCTATTTTGCACACACATATGCACTTGATTAAATTGGGCGATCGTTTTTATTTCGATTTTTTCCGTATATTTTTTTTTGGATTTTTTTCTATTATTATTTTCAGCTACTTTTTTGATGCTATGCTCGTCTGCCTGCAGCAGCTTGGTGTTGTTGCGACCGCATCATCATCATCATCGTTTTCCAGCTATGGCCATCCTTGTTGCTCCTATCCTTTCCACTTCTACTGTTGTTGGTGTTTTCGGTTGTTAGGCAGCTGCAACAAAAGTTGGTCTAGGGCGGCATGGGTGCAAGCGAGATGGCTGCGTGCCTGGAAAAAGGATCGGAACCGTTTTCCAGTATGTACTTGTATTCGCTCTCTAGCGCTCTTCTTCCTCTCGCTGAATATCTCTTTCACTCTCTTGCTGGAAACTCGAACTCTCTTTTGCTATTTACTTAGCATATTTCACCGTATCGCATCGTTGTGTTGTTATTGTTTGTTTTGTTGTGTGTTGGTTGGTGTGATTCATACACGCGCGCATTAAAAAACAACAGAAAGAAACGAGTTACAACAGCAACAGCAATAACAAGAACAACAACGGGCCAAGATCATTTATTTACTTCTTTTTTTTTAACGTTCTTCGCTATCGATCTCTCACTTGGCATTTGTTTTGGTCAAATTATTAAATACTATTGCATTATTGTATATTGGCGTACATTTAAATTTACGGTTCGATCATTTTTTTTACTCTCTTTCAACGTTGCTTTAGTCGTGTTTTTCGTTTTCGGTTATCTCCTTTTTCGCCCGCTGGCGTCGCTTCTTTATCTCTTTTTTTTGTATTTGTGTTAGCACTTTAAACTTTATATATTTCTTATTTCGATCGGATATTGAATTCTAACGTTTGACCGCCACTCTTATTAACGAACTATTTGAACTCAAAAAAAATGCAAAAAAATACACGAAGAGCGCTTTGCTTGATGCGCTTCAAAATTCGAATTCACCCAGACGAGCAACAACAAATGAACTATTTTGTTGGAGATGGGCTAAAAGACGATATTTCTTCGATATGATCGATAGATATCGGTATTTTCCTTTGACACCACCCGGTCACACGTTGTCTTTTGGCGGGATATTTCTTCGAGTGGTCACACTGCAAGTTACTCTCGCGCTTTTTTTTATGCCAGGGATGGAACATAAATATAATTTAATTTAATTCGAACAATTAAATTAATGAATATTTCATCTTATTTGGTGCTAAGCAAATGAAATAACTCTTTAATATGTATTTTCCCTAATGCCGATAGCCTATAATCATTATTTTTATGAATTTTTAGATAGCAATTGAAAATTGCATTAACGAAAATGTACCTTCAATATTATATAAAACTCTAAGATACAAATCAAGTTTAGAAAGGCTTTTTTATATATTATTATTAATCTGTTTGTTATCAACATGTAGATTGTGTGATTATTAAGAATAGTAATTATTGCTAAGAAAACCGAAATGGATGAGCCTTGCCATTTCATATAATTCTATTGTATATATAAATTATATGAAATATTTAATTATTAGATGCAATATATTTATTACACTAGAGTTAATGCGATACTATTTTAGTGCTTATAAACTTTATTTAATCAATTTATTTTCATATTTCTTTTATATTAGAAAATTCTCAGTAAAATCTTCATGACTTCTAATAGCATACAAAAGGGAAAATATACAAGTGTATGTTAAAATATAAAAAATATGTTACTGTAATTTAGCAATAAGTATCTGTATTAAGAATATATAATAAGAAATAATAAATTATGATTATAAGAAAAATGTAAAGTTTTCAGACCAGTTTCTTAGAACAATCTTTATGACTTCTAATAGCATACAAAAGGGAAAATATACAATTTGAAAATATTTTTTATATTCTATTACTCACAACCTGTATTTTAGCAATAAGTATTATTAAAATTATGATTATAACAAAAATAACAGGTTTTTAAACCAGCTTATTAGGTCTATTAGGTTTCAAGAATTTAAAGTTTTTTAAGTCTTGTTTCTGTAAGTTCTTTCCTATTTTCTTATTTTATATAAATTATATATATATACATTACACTTAAGACTATATTACTAAACTGATATATCTCTTCTTTAAATGTTGGAATATTTAATTATTTAAATATATAAATATTTTAACATCAAAAAGGTAGGGAAATCCAATTTGATATTTTATCGTGGAAAAGGGCTATTTCACTTTGTGAAAAATAGTAAGCCCATATTTTTAGTATTTGCTGTCAATTTAAAAAGATCTTTGAATATGGTACCACAATGAATTTAGTATATTAATTGTTGCCGTTTGAATACGCATAATATTAATAATAATAAAAATATTAGTAATAATATAAATATATAAAAATATTCAATCGATGGCAGAAAACCGCCCCGGCGCCTATAACTACAAGACACTACTGTGAGTATCCATTTTCGCGAATCACGAATACCACCTGTACTTTTCATTCCCACAACAGATGCACACACATTCCCGAATTGTTCCTCGATAAATTCGTGGCGCGCTCGCATTTCGGCCGCTTTGGAAATCTCATGAATTTTGTCCTGCATCCTCGACGGATGACCTGTACAGTTAGCTATGCCACCGAGGACGAGGCGGAGCGAGCACTTCACGAAGGCGGTACCTTCCAGGGTCACCGGTTTGAGATGTCTTATGCCGAGAATGAGACCACACCGGCCCAGAAAACTGAGGAATGGGTTGATCCCGATGTCCAGGCTGAGTTGAGTGCTCTGCAATCAGGCTGGCGTAATGAATACGCACCAGGAAAGCCCTCGAAACCAGCACCAGGTGGGGCTCCAGCCAATACACTTTCATCGTCGGCCATAGTCACAAAAAATCCTCCTGCTGCTAGGGAAAGGCCAGCTGTCCAGCAAAGGGATCTGGAGAGCATGATGCGTAGACCAGCCCACACAAGCGAAGAAAGGTATCGCGTTCTGGATGCTCGCGATAAGCTGTTGCGTATAAATCAAAGCCAACGAAAACTGACTGGAGCCACCCAGGGCTATTGCCCCGATATGTGTCCAGAGAAGGAACGCCTGCTAAGGGAATTTCAACGCCAGGTGGCCATCTATGAGCTGCAGCGGGGCTCCAATGAGTTAATCTGTCATGAAAGAGCTATCAAACAGTACTCGCGCAGCAGTGCCGACCAGGAGACGCCGCTGCCACATGAACTGCGAAACGAGACCGCCCTGCACATGACTATGACCTATCTGATGCACGAAATCATGGATATTAGTGAGCGGCAGGAGTCGCAGTTGGGCGATTGGTTTCATTTCGTTTGGGATCGCACGCGATCCATTCGCAAGGAGATTACCCAGCAGGAGCTGTGCTCGCTGGGCGCTGTCAAATTGGTAGAGCAGTGTGCCCGCTTTCACATCCATTGTACCGCCCGTCTGGTGGCAGCCGATCCTAGTATATTTGACAGCAAAATTAATGCTGAAAATCTAACCAAATGCCTGCAGACGCTGAAGTACATGTACCATGATCTCCGCTTAAAGGGTGTCCAGTGTCCCAGAGAGCCCGAATTCCGTGGCTATATTGTTTTACTCAATCTGGCCGATGCCAATTTCCTTTGGGATATTAGCCAGTTGCCCGCGGAGCTGCAGAGTTGTCCGGAAGTACGTCAGGCCATTCAGTTCCACTTGGCCCTGCAGGACACAAACTTTGTGCGGTTCTTTCAGATGGTAATGGACAAAGAGACCAGCTACCTGAGTGCCTGCATTCTAGTCACATACTTTACACATCTGCGAGTGCATGCCTTGCGTCGTTTGCTCCTAGCGTATAGGCATCCGCGTAGGGATGAGGTGGCCTCGCTGCCGCTCGCCTACATCACCGACATGCTGAGCTTTGCCAGCGATCAGGAGGCATCGGATTTTGTCCAGCACTATGGAGTAGAAGTTACCGATGCGGGCAATGTGGCGTTGAACCCGATGCCCACGGTGGACACGGATTACAAGCTGTCACGACAGTTTGAGGTAAGAGAAATAGACAACAGGAAAGACAGTTCATCTAATTTTGCGCCCATTTGCAGCTTGTGGAGTCAAAACGCCAGCAGAGTGTGGGCGAAGTGATTTGCGGTGAACCATTGCCACCACGAGACCTATATCTCAACCACCAACCCCACAATAGCTTTAACCAGCATGGAGTACTAAAGAGCATTGCTTGGGCGGCCAAGGATCAACTGCCTGGTATGCAGCAAGAACCTATGCAGCCACAAAACCCGCCGCAGCCACCGGCAGTGTCAAACCAAAGCGAGAACTTTTTTAAGGTGCCCATGCAACCGAACGGAATGACTGCTGGACTTGCAGCTCCAGGCACGATGGGTGTTCAGCCTGCAGTTCCCAGTGGAGGCTTCAGTTTTGTCCTGCCCAAATCTCCCGCCCAGGAGCTTCAAGACCAAGCTATGGCTGAGCAGTACCGACGGAAACTAGAAGAGGCCAAGCATCAGGCCCTCCAGCAGGCCATTGCCGCTGCCAAGGAACGGGAAGCCGAGTTAATGGCCATACAAGAGGCCAAGTTAGCCGAAGCAGAGCGATTGCGTCAAGAAAAGGCAAGGAAATTCCAAGAGGAGCAGCGTCGCAAGCAAGAAGAAAAGCAACGCCAGCAGGAACAGGAAAGGCTACAGCTCGAGCTAGAGCGTCGGAAGGAACTGGAACGTCTGCGTCAGGTGGAGCTGCAGGAAAAAGAGACTCGCGAGAAAGCCATGGCTTTGGAGTGCTATCAGGATATATACCATGATAGTCTCGTAGAGATTTGCAAGCGTGAATTTCAGTTACATAACAAAGCTTGTCGTATTTATGAATCTGTGTTGGACGTGCTAACGCGTCGTCTGATCGAGCAGGAGATGAAGCAATCCATACGCGAACTGGGCATTATGCGGACCTACGTGAGGCGGTGGAGAAACTACGGGCATGCCCAACACAAGAAGGATACACTATTTAACCAACTACCCTTAAGCTTTGGAGCCGTTAATCCCACTCTTTTGGTTGATGAACGCAATGTAGAGAGCTCAATGCGTCTAATCATACGCTATAGACTTGGCGAACCCTGCAATTATGGCACACTTCTGACTGGCCTGGAGGAGCGGAGTTGGCTGAAGTTAGATCTTTGGCGTGTTTTAAGCCAGTGCCTGCCGCAAAAGCAACCGGGTGCCAGGCGTTTCTACAAGCTAGTGCTAAATCTGCCCGGCAGTAAAGTGGGTTTCCATTTGAGTTACGTTCTGGACAGGGGACTACTGCAGGAGCCACAGGATACAGGATCTCAGCTTGCAAAAGGTGGCTACATCAGGGCGCTTTCCCACGGCATAGGCTTGAGTGTTGTTAAAGTTCGTGGTAATTCCCCAGAACTGGAGTCCGCGGATATGGCCAATGCTAATGGCATAATTTGTTTTGCTGAAAAGACAGACTTGCCTCATCTGCCACAGCGTTTAAAGCAATTGATGAGAGTAAGCCACTGCCGAGACGTTGCTTTAATTGTGGAGCATCCAGCTGATAAGGTTTATGATGAGACCGATTTTCCTTACCAGCATTTAGAGCTGCGCTCTTTTAGGGCCTTTCCCTTTAAAAAATCCGGAAAAGCACGCGAGCGTTTGATGACTGAAGTGCAAGCTGCTGTTAAATTTTTGGCCAAAACAATGGAAAAATCTGTGCGACAATTTCATGAAGTCGAGATCAGTGAGTTTCTGCTTGAAAATCTGGTATCGGAACTGTTTGGCCGCCTAAAACATGCTGCTGAGCAGGATGAAGCTTTTAAAGTGGGTTGCCAGCTGTATCCTCAGTTTTGTGTACGTCTCTTCAATGAGGCAATCGATCGCCTGCAGTCTGTGGCCGGCGAGGATATGAGCGACTGCCAACAGTTTCCCGAGGAGTTGCGCGTCTTTGTCCAGCCTCAGCCCATCGAAACACCACTGCCCACGAATCGCCTAGAGTACTTTGAACCAGGATGGCACTTGTCCGAGCAACGACAACGGATTGTACAACTTCTGGAAAATTGTAGACTACCCAACGTGCCGAAATTAAAGATGTCGTCAACCCCGTCCGAGGCCCACTGCCTTTGGGTCTTGGAATATACACAAAAGACTCAATGTAAGGAAAGGGTGGACGAGGTTGCCCTGCAGGGTAGCCAAATATTGCAATCGAATGATAATGATCTGGGTTTCTTGAACTTTATGGAATATTTGGCTGGCGAAAGACTGCAATATATACTGGGACAGGAGACAAATCTTCCAAAGCGTATTGTATACGATATGAATTCGATGAAAAAACACTTCCTAGGCGCCTGGTACTTCCAGACGAAGGTGCCGCAACTCTTTATATCAAATGTCCAGGATTGCCCGGAGGTCGAGGACGAGTATGAGAATATGAAGCCACCACATCGGATAAATAAGGACCTCGACTACTACGAGGTCATGAGCAAGGCGGAGGCTGTTCTAAGCAGATTCCGCAAGCGTGAGGAGGAACGCTTCACCCTGCGGGACAACAATGGATCATTCGCAAATCGAAAGAGCACATCCAAACCAAACCAAACACTTGACACCGAAAACAATCCGAAGCGCATGCGCCGCAGCTCAGATTTTAATTAATAACGGTAATAACCTGTAACAAATCTATATAAAAATTATTATTATTAAATTATGCCTGATATTGCCCAAATGTAAGACAAAAAAACAAACCATATTGTAAATCAAGTTTAGTTTACTTTTAAGTTAAAGACATAGTTATAAGTGAGACGACAAATGGCAAAGGCCAAAAAGAGCGAGACAGTCTAACTTTTTAGTCCGGGATCCCAACAACGAAATTCTTAGAAAGTAACTAAAATGTATTTGTAATAAGTTTTAAATGTATAATTTTAGTATAGCATTGAGTGGGCCTTGAGTTCCGGAATGACAGGCCATGTCAACATCAGTCAACTAAACAGCTCCGAGGCGAAAGCATCCGTTTATCCAAAATATTTGTGTTTTCGTTTTTTTTTACTTTGTTTTAAGGTTTTTTTTTACATTCAAAACCACACAAAAGGATTTGCCTGGAACATGAAAAGTATAGTGGCTCAGACGGAGAACCAGTTGCGGCCCATGAAGGGTGAGTCTATGAATCTAGATAGGTTCTGAGCATTGCCCTGGGTTATCTATAAAATCCATTAATAATCCTCTAAGGATTTTGCAAATCATTGAAAGTCTTTGTGTCCTTGGGAGTACTTTAAGAATCTAGAGCAGTTTTATTTATCTTCTTAGGTAGTTTAAATAAATTAACATAAGAATATAGTTTGACTAAGGATATAGAATATATTTTATATGGAAAATGTACGAGATTTTAAGAAATAATAAAAAGATTACTTTACCTTTATGAATCTCCTTGTTTAGTGTCCCGCTTGGTTTCGATGCTGAAGGGTTCCGGCGGAGAATCCTTTAGTAACAGCAGCGCGGTTTACAAGCTGGTGGCTAAGATGATGGTCAACCAGCCGGAATTCCGGTGGACCTCACAGTTGGCCTCGCTGGCCAGGCAGACGCAGAATGCACAAACCCATTTGCTGTGGCGGCCATACGTGAACTTCAACGCCCGTCTTACCCGCAAACTGTCCGGTGCAATGGAACGACGTGGATCGAGCATCAGCTTCCTGCGCCGCAGCCTGCCGAAGGGTCCAAATGCAAAACAATCAACGACATGTGTCCTGCCTGTGAAGACGCGTCTTGCCCCCAAAACGCTTCAGGGGCGGGAGTGGGCCATTTGGCGCAAGTCATCGGTGCGTCCACTTTTACTGCCCTCGTCTAACATGTGGACGGGTGTGCTCAGCCAGCGTTTCTATGTCCCTAGGCTGGGTCCCGCCGAAGAGGTAGAGGAGGAGGTAGAACGCCAGGCGGTGCCACAGCTAAGAATCACCAGGGAGCAGGCTGAGGACGAAGAGCATCTGCTTCAAAGGCGAAGGGATGGCAGTCGTCTGCGCAATAGACAATCGGAGTTCCCAGTGCCAGAAAGGGAGGTCGACTTCAGTGAGCACAGGGATGAAAGTAGACGCCACCGACAGCCCTACGTTCCCAGCGAACTGATGACTCCTGAATTGGCCACCAAGTGGATAACTACCAAAAGCTCCGAGAAGGAGCACAGAGCGCAGCAATTGCTGAATCTGAAGCATCAGATGAAGATCCAGCCTTCCGTTCGGATGAAAACCCAAACCTGGGTCAGTGGGAATAGAAGAAGGAGCCGCAGCCGTCGTCCCAGCGTCCAAAAGATTCCAGTTGTCTCCGAGCTAGAGGGCTGGCGGAGATCTGCTAACCACCAGCCAGTGCCCCTTTTTCAGGGTGAACCCGCCGAGCAAGAGCACCTGCGGCATGCCAGCTGCAAAACCAGCGCCAGAAGCATGAAGGACGTCCAAACAAGCAGTACGGTGAGGATGGACTAATAAACTTGGAGGCTTTTTTATTGTATCGTAATTAATTCCTTATCCTTGCAGATGATTTGGGTGCCCAAGGACAGATTGCCGTGGGGGCGCACGAATCTGACCAGTAGTCAATCTGTACGAAGACCCACCATTCGAGCGGCAAAGTCGACAAATCTGATGGCCCAGGAGTCGCGGGCCAAACATAGACTGATTCCCAAGGAGATAGTCTACAGACCCCGTGCTGCAAGGGCAGAGCTGGAGGCGGAGGAGGAGGAAGAGAATGACCATTCTGCTCACAACGGAGAAGATGCCAAAAAGACGCCGGAGCAGGCAATGCTGAAGGAACATCTGGCTGACCTGTTCCCCTTGTCCAAGCCCAGTGGCTCTTATCGGATTGGCTATCAACCGAATGCACCCACCCGACAGCTTCTCGAGCAGGGCAAATGCCATGTGTCTGTGCGCCGCGAGCAGTTCATCCATCTGCAGCCCGTAAGGTCCAGATCGCTCATACAGTCATCGGATCTGGAGGTCAGGGAGTCACCACGTCAGGCTGTGACAACTCTGCATCGCAGGGACGGTGCCAAACGGCCTCGACCCGTTGAAGTGGTGGTCAAGCCGTCGCTTCTTACTATTATACGGCAGCATGCCCACACCTGGGATAACAATGGCCGGAGGGCCGCTGGCAAACGATCGAATTCGATTGGTGTGCGTCCCAAAAAGCAGGCTTCGTTGCGGAGGCTGGTACGGAATTCCTCATCCCTGGAGTTTGTCGTCAAGACTCAACCCAAGCCCAAACCCACACTCGAACATAAAACCCAATCATCGGTGAATGATTTTCACAACGTTGCGATCAAGAAGTTTCCGAATGTGACCAGCAAACTGGGCATGTGGAAGGCGGCACATCCATTCAAGGATCTTGAAGAGCCAAGAATTAAGGAGAAGGAGGTGGCCACTAGCTGGAAGCAGGCGAATGCAGCCAGGAACTACAAGTACGAGGCAACCACGTCGTATAGGAGAAAAGGAAATGCCGCTAAGAAAATCTCAGTCAGGGACATGACAGAGAGTTACTTTCTGGCCAAGCGAAACTCCTCGACGTCGAATAAAGTATCAAAGGGATCTATGAAAAAGGTCAAGCCACCCAGGCAACCGGTGATCAATACAAAGGTTCAAGTCCCAGACGTTCAGTGCAAGCAAAAATCTCATGAATCATCCAGCCGACCGTGCTGGAGGTAAAAGAGCACGGACCTCCTACCTAGACGACAAATCAACCGTTTTTACAAGCAAAAACCGGACAACCAAAGGCAAATCCATATTCGAAACGGAATTCCAAATTGAGCAGTGAACACTACAAATATACACCATAATACACACACCTGGTGGATAGATGCTCCTCCCCGGAGACCTTTCTGAAATCGGATAACACTCACTTTAAATTCCTATACTTAAGCTGTCCATTATCTTCACTGTCAGATTCGAAAATCGAAATTGAAAAAATCGGACAGGGAAACTTTCTTAGAAAATGATAGCTCTCATCTATTTGGCACATTTCTTGATAGTTTTTCCCTATTTTCAAGTATCTCTTTGTTTTAGCTTTGTTTTTACATAAAAATAGATACTGTTTTTTTTTGGATAATTAGAGACAGCCGTTTCGACTCCGTTAAAAACAAGAAATTAGAGTTACTAGATGTCAAATTCGTAGTTGTTCCATACGTATTGCCCATTACAAAAAACATAAAAACACTCAATACGCTTAAAAATTATGGACGGTGGTGACACTATATTAAATTTCTGGAATAATAACGGATTGGATGTCTTAAATTCAAAAATTTCGATTTTTATTTGGGTTTTCTTTTTAGATATTAGCTTTACGATTTTTTAAATAGGTTGAAGAGCTCTAAACACTTTTTCAAAATTACGTTAATACTGTTAATACTATTCATAAAATCCGAGGTTCAAAAAACATTTATCAATATAGAGATAGACCAAACTATGACTAATCATGAAATTAGACGTAAATATGTATATAGTATAGGCCTCCATTTATACCTTAAACAAATTGGTAAACATGTTTATCATATTTCGGGTCTGTTTACCAATGAATTTCAACAAAACAGAGCAAATTGCAATCAAAACAAAGGGAACGAAGACACGTGACAAAGAAACCTCAGATATAGGAAGAAAATGAATCAATTTGGGTATTTATAGAAGTGCAATGTCACCAAACTTATTTTTGGCAACCATAACTAGCCGCATTTCACAATACAATGCAAAATTTGCATTTTCCAAAAAGACGGAAAAGGGAAATTAGTTTTCAACTAGGTATTTCAAAACCAAAATCTTCTAGAAAGAACTATAAAAAATGAATTATACTATAAAAATCATATTTTAAAGTTATTCAATAATAGTTGTAATGTTCCAACATTTCCTTAATTTTTAGCAATAAAACTCATTTAACAATTGTTTTGTTTTGGCCCACATTGACAGCCCATAGGTTATAGTTTTCAAATATTTCTTTTTGGTTTTTTGGAAGAGGGACTATTTGGGCTGGCAATGGGATTTTCTATTTAACATTTCAGTTTGCACTACAATTAAACAATGCTCTCTTTTAGATGCTTGCAATTAAACAATTAAGAACTAAACGAAGGGCTAGGACAGAACTCATCCAAAAGGTTTTATCCGGTGGTTGGCCAGGTGCTAGTCTACCGGAGATGGTACCTCTACTGGAGATGGTGGCTCTGCTTGCATTGCCGCAGCGCCTCGTTGAATCCCTCGCAGAGGGTCAGATCTGCCTGTCCCTGGGCGCACTGGATGAACTGTTTGAGCTCCCAGGCGCAGGCACCCTGCGGTTCATTTGGCTGCTGTTGGGCATAGTAGGGTTGCTGGGGTGCAGGAGCGGCTGCCGCCGGAGCTGGAGCAGCTGCCTCCTTATCGCCGGATCCGCTAAACAGCGAGGTCAGTCCATGACCCACAGTGTGTCCAATGGCTGAGCCCACAGCCACACCACCAGCGGTGGCGGCCATCTGCTGGAACATCGATGGCTGCTGTGGTGCCGGCATGCCAACGGCGCTGGGTGGAGCACTCACGGGAGCCGGTGGTGGTGGTGGGGCAGCGGCACGGGCTGGCACAGGGGCGGGTGCCGGGGCTGGGGCACGAGCCTGCACAGGTGCGGTGCTGTTGATGAAAACAAAAACAATCAGTTGTTATTCTGGACTTTGCCCTGCCGCAGTATTGTTAATTATTTTGTGACGAAATAAGAACACTTTGGATGGAAATATACTGTTATAATGAGTTCCCACCTTGACAACTTGGGGATTACTTTATAAGCATATTACTAAACAAATATTTTTAATAGTAATTTCAATCTAGAAGTAATATATATATAAACTTAACTAACTGCATATCAACTTTAAGAACTTTTCGCAATTATCTTATTGGAAAAGCAAATATGGCCTCAAAAGATGGGTATTGGAAAAATTAAAAAAAAAAAACCGGCGTTTTTTGAATATTTCCGGGCCTCCCAAAAATGCTAGATTTGACGGGAAATTCGCTAAATAGGAAACACCACTGAAACATCTCATGTTATTGGGTTAAGGTTACATAACCTTAACCCATTTCGAAGGCCGGAAAAAGCAGCGGAAAGCGAAATACTGTCCATAAGATAAACCCAGATCATCCGATTGATTTTTAGTGATTACGAAATGCTCCTTTTACCAGGTGCTTTCTTCATTTTCCTCAATCTTTAATCTTTATTTTCTTTGTTTTTCTTACCGGCGAGTAGAGGGCGGGGGGCTGGCTGAACGTCCACGGCGAACCATTTTGTTTGTTTTAATTTGTATTTTCTATTAACACGGTTTCACGTTAAAATTTAACAGTTGTTGCTGTTTTGATGACGAGCTAGTAACTGAAATTCTGAAATAATCCCAATTGGCCGAGAAACTTCGGCCTACTTTGCAGTGTGACCGCTTAAAATACCGAAAAATATACTTAAAAACACTAAAAACTATCGGATATTTTATAAGTAAGCCCCAGTTGTAGCAGCTGGCACCAGGCTTATACAATAATGCAAATTACGTTTATCATGTGAAAACTATTAAAAAGTTAATCAAATTAAGTATACATTTTCAAAATATACCATTAATATCCCATATATTTTAAAACTTTGCTTACCGTTGTGAATGGCAAAACAGTGAAATACCGCATATCGATAAGAAGTTCATTCATTGCACATGATGAATGTGGTTAACTACGAGTTTTATATCTTTTATTTGAATACATTATTATTTAACAAAAATTAACATATACCCTGTGATGTTAATATATTTGACAAAGTGAAGAAATAAATATATAATCACAAACTATCGCCACCGGAAAGTTAACGATACCTCACTTACTTTGTAGCCCTGGCTACCGCGAAATGCAACCGTGTACGTGTCGGCGGAAATGTGACTTTCTGGCCTTGCCCCACACTGCCGTAACATGTTCTTTTTCAGGCGTTTGCCTTTGCGCTGACATCGTATCTCGATTTCTTCTGTGACAAAGTAAGGGATTTTCGAAGTTTAATAATGTGTATTGTGGCCAAAGTTTGGCCAAAAGTTGGCTAAATGTTGGGGCCAAGTGTGGATATTGAGGGTTTTGTGAATTTATTGCGGCGAACTGCAGAAAAATGCAATTCCCAACTTAATGAGGTTAAAAACGGTCGGCTTTTTGTTTGTGTGTGTGCGCGCGAGTGCGACTGTGTGAGTGCGTCACACGTGTTGGTTTCCTCTTTTTTTTTTTGTATTTTTTTTTTTAATATTTTGTTTGCTGCACAAAGTAACATATATATATATATTATATATTACACAAATCCGGGCTTAAGGATATTGTTGCAATGATATAAACGTTTCTAAAGTCGCAAGTCAACAACAACAACGCGCGAGTGTGTATGTGTGGTGGTGGTTTATGTGCATATAGAGCGCATTTACTGTTCAAAAACGTGTTAAAAGGCAGAAAAACTGTTGAAATCTTTACTACTATTTACTAACATAACTCTTTTTTTTTAAGTTTTAATATTAAATTTTTCATCCAGAAACCATCATTACTTTGAAACAACTATTCTCTGCAGAGTTCTAAAGAGGATTTGAGGCTACAGAATGTGTATAAAATGTGTTTTTACTTTCTTTTATTTATATTGTGAAACCTAATAATTATCCATGATTGTCATAAAACAAATCTTTGAAATACTTAAGATATGGCAATAAACAAAAACACGTTTTCATACAATATACTCTTTTCTTAGTTAAAAATACAGAATATAGATAAATAACCAATAGATAGCAAAACCCTCAAATATCCATAATGCTAATATATCGGTTTTGTAGACACGTGACTAATTTACTTTCCTTGGGGAAAACTCTTTCAGAATGGCCGAAGTAGCTGAAAACGTGGTGGAGACCTTCGAGGAGCCAGCGGCACCTATGGAAGCCGAGGTCGCCGAGACTATCCTGGAGACGAATGTGGTTGCCACCACTGAGCTGCCAGAGATCAAGCTGTTCGGCCGCTGGTCTTGCGACGATGTGACCGTCAACGACATTTCTCTGCAGGATTACATCTCGGTGAAGGAGAAGTTCGCCCGCTATCTTCCCCACTCCGCTGGACGTTATGCTGCCAAGCGTTTCCGCAAGGCTCAGTGCCCCATTGTGGAGCGTTTGACCTGCTCCCTGATGATGAAGGGTCGCAACAACGGCAAGAAGCTGATGGCCTGCCGCATCGTCAAGCACTCGTTCGAGATCATTCATCTGCTTACTGGGGAGAACCCTCTGCAGGTACATAGACACGCTTACCTATATCATATTTCCATTCCCAAAATGAGCGGCTCATGCTAAACTGTGGCCAGAGATTATTGTCACTCGGTCATGGGTAGAATGGGCACGCAGAGTATCCACAAGGTTTTAATATCCTAGTGCCTGAAGATAGCTAAGCCTCTTCTCGTTCTCCTGGAACTTAAAACTACAAGATATCACCATTAATCAACCAGATTTAAACGAATCAGTATTAGTTATTAGTCCTCCTCAATGCTGGATAGGTTTTCATACATACTTTCCAAAGCATTAACTCTTAAATGGACTGAAAGTGAACCAGAGTTTTAACTATCCTAGTGCCTGAAGATAGCAAACACTTCTGGTTCTCCTGGAACTTAAAGCTACACTAGAAATTCAAAAATTAAACTCAAGTAGTCCCCCTCAATGCTAGTTGATGGTAAATTTCAGCCGAACTAAGCATAAACTCATTAGGGACTCATAGGAAACAGTGTTAATTATCCTAGTGCTTGAAGATTATATCACTTCCCGCTCTCCTGGAATTTAAGGCAACATAAGAAACTATAAAGTGTATGAAGAAATTGGGTTTTATTTCGAAATGAGTCGACCTCAGTGCTAGTTGAAGGAAACTCCATCCCAGCTAAAGCATATTTTCTATCAGACTCAGAGGAAACAGTGTTAATTATCCTAGTGCTTGAAGATTAAACCACTTCCCGCTCTCCTGGAATTTAAGGCAACATTAGAAATGAATATATTGAAGAGATCTCATTATCCGTCCAAAACTAAAACTGCAGCGTTGATATTCACAGCGTTGTAGTATTCAATTGGACTAAAGGAAACCCCATGATTAGCTATTCCTCTTAAGGGCATTGTCTAAAAGATGCAACCTTAATAAAGCCATAAATCAACAAAAACTCATAAATAAAGCCAACTTTTAGACCAACCTAACAAGATTGTTGAATTCAAGTGATATCTTACTAATTTTTACCTTTTATTTGTGATTTCTTGCAGATCCTGGTCAGCGCCATCATCAACTCAGGACCCCGTGAGGACTCCACCCGTATTGGACGTGCCGGTACCGTCCGTCGCCAGGCTGTGGATGTGTCGCCCCTGCGTCGCGTCAACCAGGTGGGTTTCCTTGGAAGATTTTACGTTAGATGGTAGCCAGGCAGCAATTGCTTGTGGTTCGATTGGAGACTGCTTGCTTATAAGACTTGGCTAGATCGAAATTCTATCTAATATCCGTAGCGCCATAATGTGTAATTTTACCGACATTTGGAGCATGAAACGAAGAGACATTTTCAAATCAGTAATGTTTGGGATTTCAAAAAGATAAAATGTGAAATCTGTGCTAATTTTGTATTGTTTTTATATACTTATTGATTTTATTTTGTATCTATTTTTTAGGCCATCTGGCTGCTGTGCACTGGAGCTCGTGAGGCTGCCTTCAGGAACATCAAGACCATCGCCGAGTGCCTGGCTGATGAGCTGATCAACGCTGCTAAGGTGAGGATTTTAAGGGAGAATGAAAGAATGCTGGCATTTAAATTAGTCCAATCTAATTCTGCATCATGGTTTATTTATGTAGTCTCGCTTTTGGACTAAATCAATCTTAAAAATCTTTTATTATCCTTGTGCTAGTGGCCACTTTACACTGCCCATGCACATGAGAAACGTAAAAGAACAATTAGAAAACTAAGATTTTAAACACAGATAGTCAAATCGTTTTGTCCAACCTAATTCTGCATCATGGTTTATTTATGTAGTCTCGCTTTTGGACAAGATTAATCCCCATCTCTTATTATCCTTGTGCTTGTGATAATATCCAAGTTCAATGCACACGAGAAACGTAAAAGAACAGACAAATTATAAAAATCTTAAGTAGTATCGGTTAATAATTGGTCCAACCTAATTCTGCATCATGGTTTATTTATGTAGTCTCGCTTTTGGACAAGATTAATCTTCATCCTTTATTATCCTTGTGCTTGTAATAGCTTTTCAGTTCAATGCACACGAGAAACGTAAAAGAACAATAGCTCTAAATAGGATTAGAACTTAAATTTATTATTTGACAATTACTAATTATATTTAACAATGTATTTCCAGGGTTCTTCCAACTCGTACGCTATCAAGAAGAAGGATGAGTTGGAGCGTGTCGCCAAGTCCAACCGTTAAGGAGACATCCATTACCAACAAAAACAAACTTCTGTGTCTGTTTTTTTTTATACAAATAACGTGTGTACACTGCGAAATGATACACTAAATTTAAAATAAACAACAAGATGAAAAATCCAATTTAGACCAATCTTTTTTTTTAATAGTTTTTAGTTTTTTCAATAAAACTTTGTTGTCAGAGAAAGAAGCTGTTATTTGAGCTCGTTTCTATGGGGTGGCAGATGTTTTTAAAAATCCATTTGGCATGAAACATTACATTAATCTTAAAAATATAATATATATATCTCTTTATGTAAATGTGTATGAAACTATACTCAGGATAGGGTTTGCAGTTTGGTTTTTTCTTTGGTGTTTCGACAGCCCTTTTAAAATTAACAATTTTTGACGATACTGTTGAGTATTAAAGTAGCTTATTTTAAGAACTGACTATATTGTATATTGTTAAATAACATAATTTAAGCTAAACACAATGATTTATTTCAAATGATGTTTCATTAAAAGAACATGGAATGGACGATCTGGCAGCTCTGTTTTTAAAAGTCCCGCGATTCCAAATATATCATTTTTCGATTTTTTCTTAAAAAAAATAAAGTAAATATATATTCTTCTTAAGTTTATTTTAAAGAAAATTTTCAGAAAACCCAAATTTTATAAAATTAACCATATATATTAAAATTATCGGAAACTATCAGCTAGATCTAGTAATAAATATATACTGAATATTTCGTCTCTAGCAGAGGACAAATCGATATTTAGAAACACTATTTATCAGAGCTCTATCGGTAATCGAAATCAGGACAAGCGTTCAAATTTCTTTATATTTTAAGGTTAAAAAGTTTTCATTTTAAAAATTTTTGGTAGCTGGTCGGATCGAGTGTGTGTTGTATTATCATCATAAATTGTGTGTTTTGGTGTAAGATGTTCACAGTGGATGCCGGCGCGGAATTAGCAGCAACCAACGAGGTTTCATTAAATAGCCAGTAAGTAAACGGAAATCCTGGCCGTCAAAATGTTTTTTTTTTTATGTTATATCCATGAAAAAACGTGGCTTGTGAAATACACTATGTACCATACCGCATAACCGATATATAATGCAGATTTCATGAGCAGAAACTGGTGGAGCACTTCTGCCGGCAAACGCAGCTGCTTAAGCTGGTCGAGGGGTCCTCCGGCAGCTTTGTGGCAAATTATAAAAACTCGAAGCGGCCAGAGGACCTGCTGGCCCCCATTCAGTTGCGTCTGGATTTCGACTACCAGCAACTTCTTGAGATCTCGCCTAAACTCCTTCAGCTAATCGTCGAGGAACCCCTGCAATTTCAAGAGGCTGTCCGGTACTCCATATACGGCCTGGTGAGGTCACATCTGAAGAACGCTGGGCTGAAACCCATCGATATTAACCAGCTGCACGCTCAGTGGCGCCTGGTGGGACTGCCCTATAGCCCGGGCATCCAGTTCGAGCCTCGGAATCAGTCGCTGCGCCTGGGACTGTCCCAGGTGCAGGGCATTCTGGCAGCCTTCACGCCGCCTGAAACACTGATGTTAGTTCTGAAGTACATATATACATATTCCGGCAGAGAATAGCTTGATTCCGTTTCCTTTAATTTGATTCCGTATCTATGTAAATTTTTAAAATCTTTTAATGTATATGAATTATTTTACACGAACAATCCAATTGGACACGAATTATATTATAATAGTTATCCAATTGGGAACCCATTGTATTACGTAATTACATCATAAACATACATACATACATAAACATAAAGTAGTATCATATATTCAAATTTATCCAAATTATTTCCTACTATTTGTAGATCCTTTAAGGGTCTTTGATAAAACAAATTATGTTTGCTCTGCTGGGATATTTGAAGCTTCGGTAACCGAAGAGTTGAATTATATCTCCTTTGTTTTTTTCACATCTTCCTATATAGCCTGCAATCGATCTGGTACTGCGGCAGTGGCTGTATGCGTAATGCCATACAGACCAGCTCAACGGATGGTATGTCCAATAGACTAGGAACCCATAGAAATTCCAATCATGTTATCAAAATTCTGTCAACACTAATACCATACCATTTGTGCACTCTAATCGTTATTTGACTATCCACAAAATCCATTTAGCAGATTTAACACATCATGGGCTGGGCATTAATCAATTAATATATGTATATATGTTCATCCTTTCACAGAATCCATGTAACAGATATTTTTGGTAGGAAATATTAATCCATTCCTTTGATATATTTCAGCTCCTTTGTGTTCGGGTTGCTCTCGGCCCATGAGTGAATACCAAAAGTTACGCGTTACCGAAGTCTTTCGAATCCTAGCAATCCTACCAAGTGCCACAGTTCATACACCACGTATCACCGGTTGCCTACATCGTCCCAAATTAATCCGCCTAAGAGGTGAGTTAGTGTATCCTACTATTGGAATATAAAACTAATAAATTCTAATACTTATTGCCCTTCTTAGCCTACTCCCACGACTGTGATTTAAAGTTGGGATCTAACTATCTCATAACTGGCTACTTTGCTCCATCGGCCACAACTTATCAGTTGGAAGCATGCCACCTAAAAAAAATCTAGAGAAGAAAGGCCGTCGCCGGCGCTATGTTGTTCATCTCAGTGATTTTTTGCGCAGCGATGAAGAGCATAACCAAACCACGATAACATCTTCAAATCAATCTCAAATTCAAAGCAATGAATCTCCAAAGACCATTGATAGCTCCATTGGGTATGTATCGTTCTATGTTTATCTTTAAACTTTTATCAGTCTTACAAATATTTCACTCAAATATCTTTTATCTTTTTTTTTTTGTAGTACTATCCCATCTAACGGCCATCTCGAAAGCGATGTGACTCCAATAATGACCCCAACACCTCAAAGCGAGGATCAGGAAAAGGCATCTTTTACAGTGCATCTCCCAGTGCACGTCTGGGGTTCCACTGAAGAAAACACTCCGCCTGATGGCAACTATAACGTGGATACTAAGGAATATCCAGATTTGGGAAATCGTTTCAAGAGAGCCAAACAATCAATGCCATCAGTGGCTAATTTAGATGACGACGAAACCTTTGTCAACTCTAATCCTGGACCACGTTTTCGAGGTCGTCGGGGTCGCATATTCAATCCACCAGTGCTGGCCAACTTTCTGCCGGATTCGGTTCTTTCTTCAGGAGACTCCAACAAGCAGCAAACTGTGGACAAGTGTTCGGCTTCAGTGCATCTTATTGTCAGTCAGAAGACTGCCAACGATCAAGAAACAAGTCTAGAAGCTAGTCCAAGGAAGATCGTTCTGCTGAGAAAGGATTCCACCGAGCAAGTTGGGCAAAAAGCTGCTGGTCAGTCATCCAATGGAGAGGAAACAAGCCCACAGCAGAAGGGGTCAGAAAATTGTATTGAACAGCAAAACCAATCTACTGGCGATCACATATCACATCAGACAAAAAGTCCTGACAATTCCTTTCAGCACCAGAAGAAGTGTTCTGGGTATTCTGTCCAAGAACAACAGCAGCAGCAGAAGTCTTCTGGCAAATCTGCGCAGCAACAACAGAAGAGTTCTATCAATTCTGTAAAGCAGCAGGAACAAAAGTCTCATGGTGAGCCCGTCCAGCAAAGGCAGGAATGTCCTGAAAATTCGTTGCACCCTCAGCAACAGGAGCAAAAGAGTCCTGGAAAATCTCTTCAACAGCAGTATAAGTCTTCTGGTAAATATCAACAGCAGCAGCAGAAACCTCCGGGCAATCACGTGCAGCAACAGCAGCAAAGTATCCCTGTAAAAAAGCAACATAAACTTTTTGAACATTCTTCGCAACAACAGCACCAGAAGCCACAACGGCAAAGCCCTATCATGCAGCAACAGTCGAATAAATCTGGTAATTCCTCCCAGCAACAACCGAGGAGTCTTGCGAAGGCGACAACTCCGCGCGAAAATAATTCCCCAATACCAGTCCGCATACTTACCGGCCCGCGCAACCAACGGCAAACTCAGAACACTGAATCTGTAACTCAGACATCTATTAGTTCGGAAAAGATGGCAAAATCAACTGAAAATAGTTCCCCAATACCAGTCCGCATACTTACCGGCCCGCGCAGCCACCGGCTAACTCAGAGCATTGAAATTGTAAATTATAATAGCGGCGACGACGAGGATGACGATGTGGTGCCTCCCACACCAAATGACCAAAGCCAAAGACTTGTGCCGCGGGGATTTGCTCAACGCAACAACAATCAAAGAATGGTGCGGAACCTACAGTCGGTGAGCCAAGAGTTTACGCAGTCTTCCCCAGAGGGATCGCCAGAGGAACAGGAGGTTCCGTGCCAGATGCAGAGATCTGTGCATCAGCAAATGCAACCGTATCCCGTGAAACGCCTGCAAGGAACCCAGACGATCCGTAACCTCCGGCAAATAGCTTTGCGCAGCGTGTTGAACTCAAATGCTCAAGAATTCCGACCCAGGGTGCAGCGTGCCACCGGTGGATCAAATCAAGACGCTGAAGTACTCTTCGATCAACCAAGAGACTATATTCCACGCAGTAGCAGAATAACCGTGAGTTATATTACAAACACTTATTGTTATTATCGTGGTAAAAACTTTTTCTTTTCAATACAGCGACGGCGTCGTCGTCAACGGTTTTTGCGCACCCTCAATTCAGATGAATTGGCTCCGATGTCGGTGCAAGACCCTATTCACGGAATGCTTTCCTTACCACAGCCACAGCCTATCAATTACTATAGTGCTCCGAGTTTGGCACCAGTAGTGCTACTCCCTGTAGCAGCTGCATCTCCATCACCACCGCAACAGCAAGCCAATCCACCCACCCAAGCCATGATACCACCGGCAACAATTAAATTGAATACCATTGGCACTCCGCCGGCCATGATATACTACCATCCGCAAACGGGAGGCATTTTGAGCAGTCCGCAAGCACATATTCCTCATGAAGTCAGCCAGTCGGTTTTTCGGCTTGCCAGCCTCCCGTCCACTGGTGTGGGCACCCCCGATATGGATATCTTTACCGATTGGCCACCTCCCAGCCAGCAGCACAGCCCCCATCGCCTCCCGTCCAGTATATCAGGTCCGAGTCAATTTTCCCATACGCTCAGTTCGTTGCCGGCAGAGGGGCAGGTCCAGCAGAAGTCGCCGAAATCAAGTATCTCCCAGGACCAGGATTTATTGTACAGCAAGACGCTTTTGGATATGGATCGAGAAGATCACCAGGAAACTGTCCATACCCAATGGGAGTTGGAGTCCCAATTACTGGAGTCCAAGGTTTCGCAGGCGCCCCAGGCACAGGTCGACGACGACGCACTCGGCGATCCAAACGCAAGCGTCGCCAATGATCATCTTTTATCACCACTTGAACGTCACAAGCTGTTCCGTGCGCCAACCAAACACGATCAGAACTATCCCAAGCCGGATTTAAATTGTGTGCCGTCCAGCATCAAGAAGCTACATCATTTGATTTCTTCTCAGTATTCCGATTACTCGTTTGTCTATGCTCTGAGCGCACAGCTCTGCCAAGAGAGTGTGCCTATGGATTGCTATGTGTACCTGAAAATGGTGCTGCTGGCCAGCATCGTTTCAATTGAAACTGACGAGGTGCGCGCACCGATTTCGTTGTGCATCATCGCCACCGACAGCCTGATGGCCAATCGCCTGATGAATAAAGTGGGTCAACTGGCTCCACGATTCGTGGGACCGCACGACTATGGACTACAACCGACCTTCAATGCCCTACCCACGCGCTTCAATTGGGTGGTTGCTGGCCCTCTGTTAATGGCCCAACAGGGCGTTTATTACGCCGGGGATTGGATTCGTCTGTCCAAGGAGCAGAGCTGCCAGCTGGAGAAGTGCATCGAAAATGGAGCGGTGCCAATACCGCAATTACAAATCGATCAGCCCTTAGAAGCAGCCGTCTGGACACACTGGCAGCCAGAGAACTCTAACAATCAAACGCTGACCCTCGCCAAATTGTGCCCGTAAGACGAAGGCAGTTTAAAACTTTTGCTTTTATATTAAATAATTTTTTTTTGCAGAATCTTTGGCATGCCTATTTATATGGGTGATCAGGTCAACGAGAGCCTTTGGAACTCCATAATCCAGCAGTACAGCATTGAAGGGTTAAATTTGGTGAACGATGACTTAAACATTCCCGAGGACGATATGCGCATGCTCATCCATCTGCTGCACCAGCGAAAGACAACTTACACTGATAAAGCACAGCACATGCTGCAAAAGTACTATGTTATCTCAAGGAAAGAACGACCGAGTAAGACTAACTTGAAGCATGATAATACTATTCTAAAAACGAAAGAATTACATTTTTACTCGATAGAAAATAGCTTTGAAGACCTATTTTCTGTGCTCTTCTAATTGATGTCAACTTACTAACTCTATCTTTTTCCTTACCATAGATGTCTTCTCCAGCAAGACATACATTGTGCTGAAGCAATTTGCCGAATCCTTTGCCAAGCTGGCTCTGCGACTGGAGGTCCTTGAATCGGATGTTTGTGTCGCGATCTTCCACTGCGAGCACTTTGTACAGCGTATTTTTGGGGCCAAGGATCAGCAAGGACCGCCAGCTGTGATTACATTCAATGTAATCTCCCGCATCGATCCGTATATGAACGAGTACGTACGCTGGCTGCTTGAGTATCTGGATCGGTACGAGGATGAGGAACTGGGTATGCATGCGGCCAAGCGGCGACGCACCGATAGCTGGGACATGCCTTAAACGTTGTTGGGGAAAAAGCTTTATATGTATACATGCCTCTTAGACCGAAACCAGCTCGCCATTGATTTAGTAGTACTCACTGGAACGTTTTGAATACCCATTTGTAGTTTTATATTGATGAATTTACAACATTTGTGTTTGTAAACAAAATCGGCCCTGATGCTTGAACGATGCTACCTCAAATGTATTCACAATTTACGTATAACGGACAGCGAAACATCTGAAACGTTCTCAAGCAAAGTCAAAATTTGTAAACATTTTTTTTCGCACACCTTTTCACTTGATTAAACCGGTATATGTTCTGTGTATATCGACTGGCAATCGCAGATAGCTCTTAAAGTGATATTCACGATAATCAAGAACCATCATATTGTTTGAATAATCTTTTACCGGATCCATTGTTAATCGTTAATCATCAACCTTTTTTTTTTTTGCTATTTTTTGGGAAACAAAAAATGTTCTAAATTGTTTTTGGTACAAATATTAAAATTTCACGTGTGGCCTATATTTTTTTTTTTGTTTTTACTAATTTACCTTAAATCCATTATAGATATAACCGATGTGATATCGAATATCTCCACGTGATGATATTCCAACCTGATTACTTTATCATAGTATTAAAAATAGATATTATGACATCGTGGAAACCATGAATACCTTAAGAAGTGAAACTTTAAATATCGACAGAATGTGATACCAAATACTTTTTTTTTTTTTTAATAATATATAAGAAACAGTGAGGTTCTATAAAAAGTTGTGACTTAATTTTCTGTTGAAAAAGAAAACTGCCTTTCGAAGACTCCAATACTAAAATCCATAGAAGGTGGATTCGTTTAAAGTTATAAATTTATATTTTTTTGTATATCGTTAACCATTTCCAAATCAAATAAAGAGCAAGTGACTATCTAAAAAAAACAATTATTTTTATTAACTAGGTTGTATTTGTTGTTAAACATATGTATAGTTACTGTTTATAATTAGTTTCATGCTTCTCAGTTTCTGTTTTGCTTTTGATTATCCTTTTCAGCTGCCTGAGCAAATCGTTCAAAGTTCAGTTTTAGTCTTAGGCGTAGTAATGGGCAAATAGTTTGTCCCTTATATATCTCTCTTTATCCGATTATTTCAATTATACATTTATCAAAATATATGGTATATTTTTATAAAATATAATAGATAGACATACAAATATTATAAAGTTAATAGGTAAATTCACGATGAAACTTCAAGTGTTCAGGAGTCATTTTGGTTGTTACATTTAAATCGTTATACAATTTGTATATGTATATAGTTATAGTCTAGGGTTTATGATATATGTATATGCGATCATATAGATAATTGACCAATAATGGCAGGGTGCCACAAGATTACTCAAGCTACCATGGGCTTTACAAAATCACTTTCCTTAGCAAAACATGGCTTAACACTTTAGTAATCCTGAGATCCCCTAACTATTGGTCAAAACACTATAAGTTAATCCATATGATTAGGATTTTAAATGGCGGTGTTAGTAGCATGGGGCTGTCCTTGATTTACATTCATTTCTAAATCTAGCGATAGAAAAATAGTTCTTAACCAGAATATGACAAAGTAAAATGTACATTCATAATAATACAGGTCTATAAAAAATACGTTCTTGACTTTGGTCCAGTACTGAAATCTCAGATTTCGTTAGTTCGCCAAACAAAAGTAAGTTTATAGGTTCCTCTTGCCCTAAGTGGTTGAGCAATTGTTGTTTTTTGGTCTTACATGGCTACTATTGGTTTTCTTTTGTTTCTCTGTTAATAGTTATTTGAGCTTAGAAATTATAAATAAATCCCATCTAATGCTGAGACTGTGCACTGGGCAGAAGGGTTTTGTAGAGTAGTCCTTCGCGGAATCCTCTTTAGTAGTCCAGATTACCCTGGGCTCCGGTGATGATGGCATCGATCCAAATACGCGCCGCCGAATCGGATGCGGCCTGCAAATTATAGCTTCGCTTCTTCGTTTTCACAATGAAAGTGCAATGTGGTCGACCGCTCTTCGAGGCATTCAAATGATCCAGATAGACTTCGTCGATGGTCTGTGGTAAGAAAAATATATGTTATAAATACTTTGTTTTAATTAGTAACCAAGTCATACTCACTGCAAAATAGGCGCCTCCTCTTGGTTTTCTTTCTGATTTATCAGAGTAGTAAATCAGCGCGCTTCTCTGGCGATCCAGGACAAACCAACGCCTTGACCAGGCATGAAAAGTAGCGCCCAACTTATGAAGGTACCTAAAACAACAGAGATTTCCATTAATTTCCAGTTTTTTTCGAAAAGACAACCTTAAAGCTTACCCGCGACAACTGTGGGCATCCACAAAGACATGGGGACACAGATCGATCTGGTGGCCTGCGGTCTCGATGTGATGCCGCAGATTCAGATCTGGCGAGAAGATGGGCAGGTAACGGGTGAGCGGGCGCTGGTGTTTCGGCAGGATGCGCTTCCTTTCGCTGGCCGTACTGCCACCACTTCCGCTATTCCCACTTCCGCTGCCCGCCGATGCCGTATCCTGTGAATTGCTACTGGCTCGCTTGTTATCCACGGCCGGTGACGAGGATGAATCCATCCCATTACCAAACTTTGGTGCCTCAATTGTTGCATCGCAATTGTTGGCCTCGGAAAGGGGACGCGGGCTGCGGGCCACCATTTGATTGCCACCACCACCACCGCTTCCTCCTCCTATACCCAGGGCAATGGCATGGTGCTCCAGTTCCGGTTGCGAATGGCGTTGCTGCAAAAGAGAATAATCAATTTTTAATAGGTCTTCGATGCTTTGTATTCCTGCTAAAAATAATATTTGGTCTATAAATTTTAAATAGCCTTTGCATTTTGTATATGTTTTTGCACATTTCATTTCATCAATAAACTTGTATTATTATGTTCTCATTAACTTTTAATTTCTTTTCGTCTTTAAGTTGCGTTTTACTTTTCGACTTTTTGGTTTCTTTAATGTCCTTTCCTTATATCCTTTAAAGGTATCTTCATTTTATTCGGATTTTAGGTAAGGAATATCCTTTAACTTAATCCGCAATGTTTCAACTTTTAAGTTAGACCACTTTATACTTTTTAACATAATTGTGATTAAACTTCTTTCAACTCCACTCACTAGATAATACAACTCATTGCGCTGGCGTGCATTGGCATCCGTGCGTCGATGCTGCACGTAAGTCATCCACACAGACATATCGAACGAAGATCGAAAGAAAAACCGGATGGGAAATATTCCTCTTGAAAAATCACTTGTGCTTCCAGTGGAAATGGCCAACTAACTAAGCGATTTTCCGACAAAAACAGAGAAGATGATGATGATGAGGCTGCTGCTGCTGCCGCCGCCGCCGCCGCCGACAACTACGGTGCTTTTTCAGACTATCCGACGGATCTCGAATGGGGCGCACATGAACATTGTCCAGCAGTCGAAGGAGGATCGAGAACCAGATCGAGGTAATTATACCCGTAATGGGCCGCGGATTTTTGTGGCCAATGAACGGGAGAAGATAACGATGGCCAGTCTATTGGCGAGTTTGAGAAACGTATAAACAAAAAGTCTTTAAATCGAGGTAGAACGTAAACATGGCCAAAAACACACACGTAATGCGTAACTTAGAGAGAGAGCGAGATCCAAAATAAAACAAAGACCACAGCAAATATTAAACTTATTAATAAGTGCAGTCCATATAGAATCCGCAATTGAGAGCACGGCGAGGTGGCTGGGGTGGTGATTCTTTTAAAATAAACACGGGCTAAAATAAAACAGCAAACAAAAATGCCGAGGCGGCCAACAACTCGTGACTAACGAGCTGGCGATAGATTTGATCGTCATCCAGGAGGCTGAGAGAGGTGCACTTGGAAAAAAATGTTCACTCAAAAGCTTTTCGCAGAAAACAAACCCACACGAGACTCTTTTTTTGGAATCATTGTGTAGGAATTTTCATAAAATGAAAAATAACTTAACATATCATGAGAATTATAATAATACATAATTAAGTAAATAATAATAAACTTGTTGATTTTTCTAAGTGCACGGCAAAGAGAAACAATCTTTCTAAAATTACCCACAGGATCTCACTCTTACTCCCACTACATCTCTTACTCTTAACCCAGTTCCATCAAGCTCTTGGCACTTATGTTTCCATGAACGTGTGATCTTGAAACAGTTCTTGAATACTAGGGTGGTTCAGTGTTAATTAGTTGGCTAAATCTAACGAAAGCAATTAAAACAATATAAAAGATATGATTAATCCCAAAATACACTGGAATCACATTGAATGAAAACAACTTTAATGAATGAATCTTTGGACAAGCAAAGAGGGGATTTACTGAGAACTGGAAACAACAAAAAAATATGACTAAGACTAATTCTTTGAAAGCTTGCGAAAGTGATCAAAATAATATTGAACCATTAACAATTGTAAATGATCGTGCAATATATATAAGTTTGATAAAAATTGGGTGTAGAAAGTACATCAATGGTAATAATAAACTTTAAAGGCTGATTCACTGTAAAATTCTTCCAGAAAATGATAAGACATACAAAGAACTTTCGTTTCCAAAGCAAAAATAAAGTCATCGGGTGTTTTACTGTGAATAAAAGGTATAAACTCTTACTTAAAATTAGAACACAAGTAGTTCTAATTTAATTGCTATAAATTAGCAGGTTGTAAACATATTAGCAGATAATTCTGAACAACTCTAATCGAAATGATACTCTTGAGGAATTTTTCAGTTAGCAATCGTATAAATTCCGATCAAGGCAAACTGAAACCACTTCAAGGTAAAAATCGCATTTGTAGGCATCACATTATCGGTTATCAGCTCGCATTGTGGATCCATTTATTTACACTACAGTGTTATCAGACCGGAGGTGTCTAATAAACCCCAAAACAATGCACACATTGCCTTATCTAAGCCCCACATGCAGTGCACTATATATATATGTGTCTAGATATATACAAAGAAATTACAACTTGGGACTTATAAGTAGCTAAAGAAAAGCATTATAAGTTTTCGTCTTGAAAATGAAATTGGAAAACAATAAATATTTGAAAAATCAAACACATCCGTCATGGGTATGTTATAGCAACATTAATCAATGGTTGTTCTTTGGAATTACAAATTCATCTGGCTCTTCACCCAACCCCATTTGTTTATGGCCAGAAAGGAAATGGCCTATAAAATGGTGGGTGTGAAACTGGTTGGGGTCACTGGTCAATTGCGTTTTCGGCCACGAAAATATCATTCCCGGTATCCGGGGGAGAACAAGAATATATATTAAAATAACAAACAAACTGAAAAGCTTTCATTATTTTGTTTGGCCTAGGTCATCAATTTTGTGGCGGGGTCAAGTCAAGTCAGCTCACCTGTTGCGACGTCGTTCCAGTTGTTGCTGTTGCTGCTATCGTTGTGGGACTACTGCCGGTTGATTTTCTATTTTCCTTATCGCCACCGGTCTTTTGCACCTGCTCATCCAATGTGTCACCTGGCTTTTGATTGAGCTTTTGCATCTCCGTCTTCTCGAACAATTTGGCATCTTTGCCGCCGCTGCAAAAAACGAGAGAAATGTAGAAAATCGAATAATGGGTTAAGTGGCCAAATATAATATAGCACAGAAAATATATATCTCATAATCAGCTAATCAGAAAATATCATAAAAGGGGTTTGGTCTTATAAAAAGCTATGAAATCATAGTTAATTTTAAGTTGGAAAAGTTAAATATACAAAAATTTCACTTTAGATTTAATTAATCACCATTTAAAAAATATTTTAGTTAATATAGACATTGTTTTGATTTTGATTCTTAATCACAAGCACAACCGGCACTGCTAGGTGTATTCAAATTTGCTGCATTAATACAGCCAACAAATGCGAAAGCTTTAGTCACAAGCTCTATGTTTTATGGATTTTCTTCTATATGTATACAATTCCTATCACACAGCCACTGTCATTGTTTTTCTTTTCAATTTAATCACCGTACCAGCAGGGAATCATCGCGTTGATTCGATACATTATTTATTTAGAATGACTCATTTCCCCGGGCGGACTTCAAATACTTCGAATCCGATTTCGTTTACGCTCGAGTTCCAACTGCAAAATCGAAAGCCGAAAGCAGAAATACTGAAAACTGACTAAGCGGGCGGACGGAATGAATGTGAATGCAACAGTTGGCACACAGCGATCCAACGATTTAGGCACATAGATACTCCGGCGAACGCACACTTGGATACAAAATCAGCTGATAAGCTTATCAGCAACGGTACACAGAGAAAAATTGTAATGAAAGTACTTATGTTTCGGAAAAATACATTTTTGGTACTAATTTAGCAGATGATGTTTGGAATATTATATTTTTGCTGCCTCAATTTATTAAAAATATTTAAAATGAAATGAAAAAATGCTCATGTCCCTTTCAAAATTTATTTCTGTGCATAGGAAATTGCAAGGGAACTGAGAAAATCAATGAAAATAAATAAAAAGAAAAGCTACTCAGGTGACGTCGTCGCTCGATCAGCAAATGGGCACTAAAATAAAACTCCAATCGTTGGAAGTTTATTATTTGGCACCCAAAACCGATTGCCGTCGTCTTTATTGATTTTGGTGTGTTTGCTTTTTGTTTGGGTTTTCAATTCAAATTTCAAAGTGATTTAACAACCGGTTTTCAAGGAAGGGGGTGGAGTGGTGGGCACACATTGTTTAGCTATTAGCCGCAAAGTTTGATTAATTATAGAGCCCCGCGAGTTCAATGAGCAAACCAAAAGGCATTTTAACCCTACACTGAGCAACAAGTTTGCTGTATCTCTGATTTAGCAGAACTTTAGCTTTAACAGTCATTCTAATAAATCAGTATCAATCAAAAGTTAATTTATATAAGACACTTGTGACATAGGTATATATGGACTATTAATTAATCAACAATCAATTTCAATTTCATTCAACTTTGCACAGCCCAAAAGATAAGATATTAAATAATTTATACTAAAGAAAAGTGAATGCTAATTGATGGGAATAGTGGATTTACTGTCAATACGGTTAGTAATATTATTCAAAATATTTTTACAGCTGACTTAGCTCTTTAAAATTCCTAAAGATTGTAAGATTTTTGTATATTAAAAGCCCCTACTTTGTTGCCTACTGTCAAGGGCCAAACCCAACCCCTCATTCAAGTGTAAACTGCACTCGAAGTGCATCTTTGTCGTCGCAGTTCGGGTAATTAACTCGATGGGGGGCACATTTTCAATTAGCTGGGGCTTCAGTGGAGTAGAGGATTGGTTTCAGAATGGGGGTCAACTTACTTGGCATCCGATTCCAGTTGCTGTTGCTGCTCCATCGATTGCTGGGTGGAGAGCAAATACTGGGTGCGGGCCTCGTCGTGGCTCTTCTTTTTCAGATCGTACATCTTCTGGCGCTCGTGCTCAATGACCTGATGACCTGTGAAGCGTGAAGCAAAGTATCAGTAATTGTTTTAATATTTCAATTATATTCAAATATTATAGATATCTAAAAAATCTATAGAGCTATATGAGATGGGTAGGAAAACTAGTTCTTATGTACAGGTTGCTCTAGACTAATTAACAGAAACTTTACTTCTCAAGGTAGATTTTGTAATAAAATTGAAAACATAAAGAATTCCGGAACCACTGAACCGAATTTGCATACCAACTTGATTGTTAAACAAAACCAAGAGGTAACCAAATCGGTTCCAAGAACCACTGATGCGAAGCTATTCCAGTTTTCATGAGGTTTTCTTAGCTAAAACAAGAATCATTGATTCGGATTTGAAATGATTTAACAAAACTAAACTAGATTTAGACTGGCAAAGCCCTAGCCCGATACAATTTCTGATTTAAATAAATGGGATTTCCTACCCTGCTGGGCCAGCAGAAGCTTGCGATTCCTTTCGATCTCCTTGATGCTGTCGAAGATCTTGGTGCTTGCCCCCTGAGTGGTCGAAATGGGTGCATCATTGGCCACCTTGCAGCTGCGATCGATGTCATCCTGCGAAGGCACACGTCGCTCCAATGGATTCACCTCAAATCGATCACCTTGCAGCGAAAGATTGAAACTGATCTGCTCGCAGCTGCCGCCGCCCAAGTCCTCGAAAAGCTGTAGCGGCAGACGCTTGGGCGTGCTGGTGTTGGCCTCGATTTTATGATTATAAAACATATTCTCGTTAACGCTCTTCGACATTAAATCCTCTTCGTTTCGTCGTTTCGGGCAGAGCAGTTCGGCGGAGCCAAACAGAGATTGGGACATAACGCCATTGACCAGATTGCTGCCAGTGGATCTCGGCGAGCTGGGCGACCCGGGTTCATCTTCATCGGGTCCAATTTGAATGCGTAGAGCAGCCAATTCGGCTTCCAGCGTGAGACGTTGCTCTTGTCTCTTGAATTCCTCGTGGCTGGCATGATGCTCGGATTCCTCCTCGAAATACTGAAACTCCAGATCCTCGAAAGTCTTTTTATCGCTCTCCAAAGATTCGCAAACCAGATTCAGCTCCTCTATTAGGCATGCATTGTTTGGTTTCTGCTTCAACATGGCTCGCAGTCTGGAAAAGTAATCAAGTATTATTATATGATTTTTATTTTTGACTATGATTTGGGTTACTTCTTTTGCTGATCCTGCTTCATTTCGATTGACTGCTTCAGTTTGGCCTGCTGATTTTCCTCCATGACCCGTGTGGCGTTCCTTTGGGCCTCTAGGCGACGAACTCGATTTTGCAGGGCCTGCAGTTGCAGACGCGGCGAGGCACTGGGGGACAAAGGCTGCTCACCCAATTCCAACTAAAAGAAAGGTGTATACTTTAGTTAATCTTGAAGATTAGAAGTTCAAAAACCTTACCTCCAGTCCCTCGATTCCCGCTGAGGGCGGCAGTTCAGCCAAATCTCGCTTGAGCTGCTGGCGTCGTTGGATGAGTTCACGCCGTTGGCGTTGCTCCAGATGAATGCTCCTTGGTGCCGGAGCTGGTTTCCTGGTCGGTTTTGGCATCTGTGCCTGTGACGCCACAGTCAGTAGATTCAAGGTGAGATTGTTGATGTTCTTGTTGCTCCGCTTGGCTGGCACTAAGCGATCCAATTGCTGTTGCTTTCGCTCGAAGGATTTGAAAAGCTGCTCGTAGTCGCGTTGCTGATTTGGTGCCGGTGGTTTGGGTGCCAACGGTGGCTTTACCAGGCTGGGAATGGGTATGGGTTTGGAGGTGGAGACCGCAGCGGTGGATGCTTGTGCTGGTGGACTAATGGCCAGAGCAAAGGCATTGCCAAAGGACACATCCTTTTTGGGCGACATGCAGTTGGTGCGGATCTTGGTTCTCGGACTCTGCGGCACATACTTCCCACCAGTAGTTGCCGAGCTGTTCTGATTCAGATTCTCATGACTGGCCCTGACTGCTGCCGTTGGAGCTAGTCCACTGTTGGCAATTCCACTGGATGAGCCGCTACCGACTCCACTTCCTTCTCCAGCAGAGGCTGGAACGTGGATTTGGCCATTGATCTCGACACGATTGGGTCCCAGCAATCGCACATTCTCATAGCCCGAGGAACTGCTTAAGAGCGAAATATTTGCAGTGCTGCCCGCTCCTGTCTGCTGTGGAAATGGTGACTTATTCTTGTCCCGCGGCAACGAACCATTGGTCTTTATGCGATTCTGGACAATCGGTGACGACGTTATGCTGGATGTACTCGAAGTATTGTGGTTGGGTGCCATGGAATTGTTTCTATCCGCGTACTCCGTGCATATCTTTAGCATATCCTCGAGTTCAGCTCCTCCAGTGCTAGAGTTATTGCCGGAAACGAGACCATTATTGATATCGCTATTCACACCATTCATGGAGTAGATCTGCAAGCCACCAGCTTTGGGATATCGATCATAGCGATCGTTATTGACTTTTGTTAGTAGATCCGGAGGAGCCTGTTGGTGTTGCTGCTCTTTGTAGACCACCGCATTACTGGGCACATTCCAGTAACCACTACTGCTGCCCACACCCTTGGCAAACTGATTGTTTAGCTGCTTTTCGTTGCGATGATTCTCGGCAAGATTACGGGCAAAGCTGGCGTATTTCTGTCCCAAAACATCCTTGGCCGGCATGTTGACTGTAACCAGATCAGAGGAGAATACCTTGGGGCACTCCAGCTCGTAGTTCGATGGGTTATTTAACGGATTAATAATGCTCTCGTAGAAGGATTCCAACTCCAGGGATTGACTCAGCTCATGCGCTTGCCTTGCCGATTGGGTGAAATCGATCTGTGGCATCGAAATCCTCTCGTTGGAGCCCATCGCCGAACGCATCATCTGTGCCTCGTCTGGATTGTTGAACCTCAGATAATTCGAGTTGCCAATGGTGATCATCGCACCCTGGCTAAGCTTGGTCTCCTCCAGAATCGGTGCCCCGTCGATCAGCAAGCGGGCGTCCTTTTCCGGTACCAGGGTTACCTCGTTGTCTTCACTTCTAAAAATTTTATGAGAATTTTAATTTAATTTTAAGTAAAAAATGTAAATTTTATAAGATAAATACCTGTAGATGGTGCAATGCAGCGGACGAACCCCACTTCCATTCAACGAGATGCTGCAATTGGCCGCCGATCCAATCGTCGTGTCACCTAAATGGAAATCAAAACAGAGTTAATAAACCTTCTTTAAACTTAATTTGGAAACTGAAAGTTTCACGTTTGAGGTGGTTTTCGGTAATGTGAGGTTGGAATATTTCTACAGTCGGTTCAACACAATTTCTTATCTCTTTTCACATCACTCGCTCTTTGCCTCTCTGATTTTCGGGAATAAAAAGCATATTCTTAACGTTGCTCTGTTTTGATACAGTGGAAGCTATAACTATTATTCAAAATTTAAAAATATTTATGAAAAAACATACGTTTATAATACAGGAATATTTATAGAGTTTTAAGAAACTCTAAAACTAATATTTTAATAGAAAAATTTCGTTAAAATAGATTAGATTTAGATTTGTCGAATGTTGATATGTCTAAAAAGAATTTGTTTTAAATTTTTTGTTCGAGATATTTAAATCTTTTCAACACTTTTCATCCCATTGTAAACTTTAGACAAAAAAAACTGAGCTTATCGCAGTTTGTTCACCAATTTTGTTGTCTTTTGTGCGTTGCTTTCGCAAGACTTTTTGTGTGTCCGCTTTGCTACTTGTTGTTATTGCTTTTTTTCGGTACTTTGCTTATCGCTTTACAAGTGACCTTGCCAGGGCAAAAAAAAAAAAATAAATAAATAAAAGACTGAGCAAGGGAGAGGTAAAACGCGCACGCGTGGCCGCAGCAACAGACTGAACGCAAATGACAGGCGTGCGAGGGAGAGGGACGCATCCGAGTACCGGTGCGTGTCCACTGGGCTATGTTAGCGATGACCCAGTGTCACGAATGTATCTTTGAACAACGAAAACTAAATGGGAATGAATCTTCTACTAATTGTACTCCACAACGTGTCACGAGAAATGGTCCATCCCCAGGACTTGCCGCATTCACACTCACCTATGTGTATGTAGTGGATGGTTACGGCGGTGCTCAGTCGTCCGCCGCCCAGAGAAACGAGATGCGGATCCGAGGCGGCGACTCTCAGCAACGGATCCTTTTTCGTCAAGGACATCTGCAAAAGGGAAAAAAGAGCGGGAATTAAAAGTGCGCTCGAATAAATACCAGGAATGCCCAGCCCAGTGTCATATGGGAGTTGCATGGACAGCTGGCCAGTAATTGTTATTGGGTTTTCTATATTCCTTTCTGTTAAGGGATTTCAGGGGTTCCCTAATTATAAGTGAGTGTGTGTGTGCGCCAGCACGTGCTCTTGAAAGGGAGGGAATTCCCCAGCTGTGCTGAATTTTTGATATATGTTTCAGACAAAAGACCGCTTTCAGTATAAAATTAAATATGTATACAAATTATATTTTACAAACAAGTTAATTCATGGTTACATTGCAAAATATCAACTTTAAATCAGCTTTTTCGAGCCTACGTTTCCAGCAATCCCCAAGTTTATTACCTGTAAAGCTACATACCTTAAAACTGTTTTCCCAACTTCCGAATGATGTCATATGCACCGAATGGAGCCCCCCATGTCCAACCCATTTCTGACTCAAACTCACGCACTTGTAACTGATAAAGTTGCACTCGCCACAGTAAAAAAAAGTATATGTATATAAAAAATTAAAAAATAACAACAACAAGCACATCAATCAAACCACGACAAGAAATGGTGGAAAATGATTTATGCGCAGTAATATATATGAATGAATATATGGTTATGTGTGTTGGTTTTATAGATTGAAAACTTTATCAGGCAAACAACGTGCGCTCTCATTTTCCAAGTTATCCAATGTGGAATGGTCAACCATATAGCCGCCACACACGATGGGGTCCAACAAACTACAGTGATACCCAAGTTATGGAATTATCAGTGACATGATCGTGATGACCATAAAATTAGATTTCAACAGGGGCTTGAAAGTGAGATTTTTCCAAGGGGTAAAGTTTATGGTACATAAATTTTGAAACAGTTTTTGAAATCAAAAAGATACAAAAATCTGAAATCTTTCCAACTCTTTAATTGATATAAACTTCAACCGAATAATTATTGGAATTATCGGGCTAAGCCCCCGAGAATCCCCCATGGTAGGCCACTGGATTATAATGATGATCATGATGCCGCCACATAATCGCAGTCGCCTTTTTTGCCGTCGACCACTTTTGGTGTTTATGACCCAATTCGGAGTCTTTCAGCTTCGTTTGCTTCACTCCAGATTTTCGGTGGGGGAGAGAAATGGTGCGGGGAAATACTTTCCGGGAGATAGAGATAGATGGGGCCAAAGGGGGCACACAAAAAAACTTTAGAGGTGGAACGCAGAGGCGGGGAGATACCCTCAAACGCAACCATTTCCGCGCCCCAAAAATAAAAGTGAAAACTTTTAATGCCCAGTGCTGCGACTTCCCTATATATCTTTCACTTTTTCCGCTTCTAAAACATGCTTTTTCACCTGTTGTATCTCTTTTTTGTTTTCTTCGAGTGTATATGTGTGTGTGTGTGCGTTATCAAAGGCCGCATTTTTCATTTATTTGTTTATTGTTGATTGATTAGGCTCATAACGTATTCGCTTTCAATGATTCAAGACCCAACATATATTCCACAATATATATCCCATATCACTGGGCTATATATAAATTAATATATAGGCAGGTGAACTCGATTTCCTTCCTTTCCTTATCAATATAAACTTAAGAGCTTTGATCGTATTCAGTATTCCAGCAATGGAGTTACATTTAATGGAAAATAATTATTAAAAAGCTTAAGTTTCTTATGTTTAATTATATGATTTACGATTATGAAATAAACTAATATTAGGTAATAAATCAATTGCAAAATCCTCGATTGATTATTGGCATTTTCTGTGCATTTTTTTTTAAATACATTTTCCAGTTGCATGTCATCTTGAAAATTCAATTTCTTAACCCTTTGAACGCTACTTTCGCTTTTCGTCTAGACGCTTCTTCAGTTTTTTGATGGTGCCCCATCAACATCATCATCATCATTGATGATGATCAGCATCAGCATCGCTTATAAGCACGATGATGAGGGACTCTGGGGGCTATATCATCAACCGATCATTACAACAAAACATTACGAAATGCATTTTAGCTTTTGCTTTTATTTTATTTTCATTTCTTTGGCTTTTCTTCTTGCTTCCCCTCCCTCAAATTCTGTGGCACGTCATCTTGTGTGACTGGTGTAGCACGGGAAAGCACAAGAAAAATCCACAAGATGTGTAATAAATTACACCGAAGAAAGGCGAGACAACAAAGGCGTTTTCAAAAGTGAATCAAATGGCCTGGAATAGTCGCTTCGAGGCAGAAAAAAGACGAAACAAAAACCAATACAAATAAAAAAAAAAAAAAAAGAGTCAGAAGAGTTGGCCAGGCCAAGATGAGTTCCACAATTGCCTCCATTCCTCCGAACCAACATTTGTGTTATTGTAAGCTTTTTATGACCGCCAACAACAAAGGTATTTCAATTTTTATTGAGATAAGATAAAGGCAAATGGAAAATCATCGAAAGAGCCGGCAGAGATATGCCGCGGAACTTGCATTATGTAAAAGCTTGGAAGCGATAACAAACATACTTTTTAAAAGCCGATAATTTAAAATTAACTACACATAAAGAAAACCTATGATTTGATTTTAAAAGTATTTAGATTTGATACTTTCTTTTAGTTAATATTTGTTAATGATAAAAGGAAACACACTTTAAAAGTTATACCTAAACCTTGATAACTTCCTTAAGTTTTTGGTACTTAATCAATGATCTTTCCATATAGATATACACTTTCAAAACTCCATTATTTTAACCCCTGCTGTGCATGGCAATCAAGACCATTATGTGACACGTGTATAGGGAGGGCAGGGAACTCAGAGAGGTATGGTCTGTGACTATAACGATGAGACATCTTTACTCACAAGACAAATAATCAAACAAAAGAAGTGTCAATGCAATTAAGAGTTTCCTTTTCTTCCCTTATTATTTTAGCCAGCTCGTTTCCCTCATTAACCCCTAGATTCTCTATCCTGATGTACAAACGTATGTGTGTGGGGTACGCCCCTTACCTTACCCCTCCCTCCCTTACCATATCTTGAAATCCCCCACAAATTATCTGACTTCAGACGATGATGAGCTCCCTCTGATGATGAATACATTTTTGCCATTTTTAGTTGACTTTATTTATAGAGAGCAAACACAGCTGGTAAATATGCCTCCCTTTCAGCCTCATCAGCTACACAGGAAGAAAACAATGCCTCTTATTATAAGGTAAATTGATACTCCAAAGTGTTAAGGTATGATTTCAAAGTGTTTTTGCCAAAAGAATATCATATAACATCAATGTTTAATATATAAAGATGTTTTCTTTTTACATCTGAGGAATTCAAATCTATATGCAAGGTGCATTAGCAGGCCAACTGTCAATATTTTGAATTGGCAAAAAACTCGGTTTGTTTATTTGCTTATTTTTTGTGGGGCTGCTGTCTGTTTTGGCTCCATTTCAGTGCCAAAAATCCAACGCAATCCACGGACAAGTTTTCTAATTTTTTTTTGTTGGTGCGCTGGTGGGCGTGGTCTGAGGGCGTTTGCTAATGGCATTTTGCTGTTTCAAAGCCAAACAAATGCCAAATGTAAGCCAACGTGGAATTCAGCTTGAGACGTGACTTGGACAAGGGAATTAAGAAACCCTTGGATATATGTATATTCAAAACATCTAAGAATTTCCGGTAATTTGAACTCCACTCAAAAGTACATGTTGTGTTTTCACTTCACGTTCAAGGAAATATTATAAAAAACGTGTCATTAAATGGTCATAATAAATTAATATTTTAATATGAAAAATATATTTGATTATTGTTACTATATAACCTATATCTATATATTTAACCTAAGCCACATAGTAAGATCTATTAAGAATGGTTGTCTATTAATCAGAATACCAGTAATTGTATTATAAAAAGAGCCCTTTGTGGTTTTCCATGTGTAATGTCACCTTATCTTAGCTTAAGCTTATTGAGAGCACGAACCATAAATAAATGCTCTTGTTTACCTATGTTTGAGTACCTTTAAATATCTCAAGACCTTCGGGGACATCAAATAATAATAATATTAATACGAAAAAGTGGAAATGTGGAACACGGTTTTTATACTAACAACCTATGCATATGGCTGACACAATTGCGAGCACATTTCGTGGCTATAAAAATACACAAACATAATTATCTATGCAAACCGAAATAAACCAATTTTGCTAATTTCTTTTCATTTTTCTTTTTTTCTTTTTTTGCAAATTGTAAATTAAAATTAAACTGGCAAAGCGTAGCAAAAGCAAACAAAAAAGAGATCCAAATAAAAGCTAAAGTTTATCAATTTCGAAAAGGCCAAGAAGTACAGAGAAATTTCTAGTAAAACATATTAATTTATTTCACTTTTCATGAAGGTTTTCCATTATTGTTTTCAGTCTTTCGGTTTACTTATTAAAGTTCACCTGTATTTTTATTTTAAGAGCAATTTGTTTGCGAAGGTCAGTCGGCACAGTTACGTGCGTAAAATTAAACATAAATAAATAGCCGGCGACAGCAGGGAGTGGTGAAAAAGGGGGACGACGTACGCCCATGCCTTATGCATAATAAAATGCAACCCACTTTTAGCACCACGCCTCCGCCTACCCCGCCTTAATAATAATGTGTGAAAATTAATGATTGTCGGAAAGGGTTTTCCAACTCGTCCCCCTTTTTATGTTCTATGGTGCTGTGACATAGTTTTAAAGTCTATTAACATGTTCAAAACTCCACCCACGCAAAGAGAAGGGTAACTGTGAATTGTGGGCGCCACTTGGAGCTGTCAAAAAGGCCAACAAACACATAAAACAGAAACTCACAATGATAGCAATACACAAAGGAAGCTTGTATCTGCAAGAAAGTCACTAACACGAAGTGTACAGTTTGGAAAAAATTTGATTTAATTAAAAATAAATTAATAAAAAATATGAATTCAATCTTAATAACTCTATGATTCCAATTGATATTCATCTTCTTACAACATTAAGCTATTAAAGACAAAAA